ACTGAGCTATACTCAGAGCCCCCCTTTTAAAATTAAAAACAATTTTATTTTATTGGCATATTTTAGATATACAATATAATGACATTCATCATGGGAAATTTGTGCCTTTACATAATCTATTTTGGTTCTCATTTTTCCCCATTCCCCTGCCTTCCCTTCTACCCCTCCACCCCTCCCTATTTACAGACTTTGTTTCCATTTTTTCCTTTTCTCATATTAATTCCATTCCCTTCTTTCCTTTCCTCTACCTCTTCCACTTCCCTTTCCCATTTGGACCTTTTCTTCCTATTTCACATTACCTATTATACCTTTTCATCCTTATTTACACTTTCAGTTTCTCACACCAGAGAAACTATGTGGTATTCACACGTGTGTCCTTTTTATTTCACTTAAGAGTATTGCCTCAATGTGCATCCATTTAGCTATAAATGTCTCAGTTTCTCATTCTTTATGACTGAGTAGCACTCTATTTTTTTAGAAAAACCACATCTTCTTTATCCTGTCTCCAGTTGATGAGCAAATGGGCTGTTTCCAAGTTTTAGCTATTACAAACTGCCGCTATGTGTGCACATATATTGCTGTCGAATGATTCTTCTTTTTTTGTTTTTTGTTTTTTGAGGGGGTACCAGGGATCAAACTTGGGTCCTTGTGCTTGTGAAGCAGGTGGCAGAAACACTGAGCTAAATCCCCGGCCCTTGTATGATTCTTTTAATTCTTTTGGAAAGATACCCAGCAGAGGGATACCTGGGTCAAATGGGATCTCTAATTCTAGTTCTTTGTGTTATCTCCATACTGATTTCCACAGTGGTTGCACCAGTCTACAGTCCCACCAGTAGTGGAGCAGGGTTCCCCTTTCCCCACAGCTCAGCCAGCAGCCAGCATCTGTTACTGGTTGATTTCTTGATAGCAGCCATTCTTTCTGGGGTGAGGTGGAATCTCAGGGTTGTTTTCATTTGAATTTCTGGAATGACCAGTGACATTGAACATTTTTTCATGTTTATTTGCTATTTCTAATTCTTTGCCTGAGAAATGTGTTCATTTCAGATGCCCATTCTCGGACTGAGTCTTTAAATTTGGGAGGTCTGATTTTTAAAAGTTCTTTATCTATTCTAGATAGTAGACCTTTATCTGAGAAACAGCTGGTAATAATTTCTTCCCACATTGTGAGTTGTCTCTGCACAATGTTGGTAATTTCTCTTGCTTTGCAGAATCTTTTTAATAAGAAGAGATCTCACTTGTTGATTGTGCTAGTTCATGTGCAACTGAAGCTTTGTTCCTGAAATCTCTTCAATGTCTTCAAGAGTTCAGAGCCATTTAAAAAAAAGTTTTTTTTTTTTTTGAGACAGTTTCACTAAGTTGCCCAGACTGGCTTTGAACTTGGAATCTTCCTGCCTCAGCCATCTGAGAAGCTGGGATAACAGGCACACGCCAACATGCCCAAATTGTTCAAGTTTTTGTATAGATCTATGTTTCCATTTCTCTTGGGTAAACGTGTAGGAGTGAAAATGCTGAGTCATATGTTTAACCTTTGAGCAGCTGGGGAACTGTTTTCCTAAATGGCTGCACTATTAGACCTTAGGACCAGCTATGAATGAGTGTCCCAGTGTCTCCCTATTCTTACTATTATAGGCAGTTAAGCCGCGTGTGGTGGCACATGCCTGTAATCCCAGCACTCGGGAGGTTGAGGCAGGAGGATCGCTGTGAGTTCGAGACCAGCCTGGGCTACATAGTGAGTTCCAAGTCAGTCTGAACTACATAGTGAGACCCTGTCTCAAAAAAACAAAAAATAAAAATAAAAATATAGGCTGTTAAGTTAGATAGACATGAATATACAGTCAGAGAGGATCTGGGCCATCAAAGAAGTCAGCAGAAAAATAAAGACAACAGAATTGTGACTGGAGGCACATCTCAGGAAGGTAGGGCCTCAAGATAAAGATGGAATGACCAGGCCTACATGTCTCCCTGAGGGATAAACAATAACTTGAGATTATATTATACTTGGTATCACCTGGTCCAGTAAAGTCCAGATAGGCATCAGTCACTCAGGTGGGTGAGCAGAGCATCCAGAAATGCCTTTTTTTTTCCTGTGTACTCTTGCTATGTAACCCACTTCCCTATTGGATCACTATTAGCAAGGCATCTATACTTTTAATCCTGTAGGTTGATTGTAGTTTGACCTACGTTGTAAACCACACTGTGACTTTGCTGTATAAATTACCCTTGACAAAGGGTCTTGGTGGCAACTCACTTCTGGGAGGGACCCTCTTGTCTCTCAGGAGCTTTTCTTATTCCCCAATAAGCCTTTCCTACTCTTAACCTCCTTTGTCCTTTGGAATTCTTTCCTTGATTTCAGGGGACACAAACTTGGCATATCTCACATCTCACAGGTTGGGAGTTATATTTTTCCCTACATCATCTCCAGCACTTGTTATTATGTGTCTTTTTTATTCTAGTCTTCTGTTTAGATGTGAAGTTGTACCTCGTGGTTTTGATTCGCATTTCCCAGATGGGAAAATATTTAATGGTATTAAACATCTTGTAATAAGTTTATTGGCCACCTGCCCATCTGACTTGAAGATGTGTCTTTTCAGATTTTTTACTCATTTTAAACATTGAGTTATTTGGCCCTTTAATCTGTAATAATTATTGGCATATTTTAGTTAAAAGGCTCTTATTTGATATATAATTTGTGAATGTTTCTCCCATTCTGTGCCATATCTTCACTTTCCTGTTGGTGTCCTGTAAAGCACAAAAAATTTAAATATTGATGAAGCCTAATTTATCTATCTTTTCTGCTTGCTTTTGTGTTCTATGTAAGAATCTATTGCCTGGGCCTGGGGATTTAGTTCAGTAGTGCCGCCACTTGCCTTGCAAGTGCAAGGTCCATCCCCTGAAACAAACAAACAAAAAAAAGAATCTATTGCCTAATACATGGTCATAAACATTTATTCATTTTCTTCTAAGAGTTTTATAATTTTAATTTTCATATTTCTTTGATTCACTTTTTTTTTCTCATTGAGTTGATCAGTACATTTTAGGTATACAGTACAGTTGCATTCATTATTGGGATCTTGTACCATTAGATGACAGGTCTTAGTTCTCATTTTTTCCCCTTGTCCCTGCTCTCCGTTCACCCCTCCTCCCCTCCCCTTTACAAACACTTCATTTCCATTTTCTTCATTTTCTCATATTTTCTTATTTTCCATTATTAGGTTTCCCCTACCCTTCCCACTTTCCCTACACCTTTAGCCCCTTTCTTCCTGTTTCACATGGTTAATTATATCATTAGGATCTTATGTACTATTATAGTTTTTCACACCAGTGGCTCTCTTTATTTTATTTTATTTTTGGTACCGGGGATTGAATGGTGGTCCTTGTGCTTGTTAGGCAGGTGGCGGAACCACTGAGCTAAATCCCTAGCCCTCTTTGATTCACTTTAATTCTTTACATATGCTATGCTAGGGGTTCAATTTTTCTTTCCATGTGGATATCTGGTTGTCCCAGCATTGTTAGAAAGACCATTTTTCTCCCATTGAATTATATTTTTTCATTTCTTTCTTTTTGTGTGTGTGTGTGTGTGTGTGTGTGTGTGTGTGTGGTACCGGCGATCGAACTCAGGTCCTTGCACTTGTGAGGAAAGCCACCGAACCTCTGAGCTAAATCCCCGGCCCTATAGTTTGTATCTTAATAGGAGTTTTTCCATTTCATCAGTTGCATTGCATTTATTTATTTGGCACTAAGGATTAAATCTAGGGCCTTCACAATGAGCTACATCCCCAGTGGTTTTTGTTTTGTTTTGTTTGTTTGTTTGTTTGTTTGAGACAGAGTCTCACTAGGTTACAAAATTGCCCAGGCTAGGCTCAAACTTTCTATCCTTCTGCTTCAGCCTCCCAGAGTGCTGAGATTACAGGCCTTTAGCACTACACCCAGTTAGTATTTCTTTATCATCTTTCCTATTTCTATACAGTTAGCAATAATTTCCTCTCTTTAGTAATTTGAGTGCTTTTTCCTTTTTCTAGCTAAATGTCAGTTTTGATTTTTTAAAAAAAGAATCACTTTTTAGTTTCTTTGATTCTCTCCATTATTTTCTGCTATCTCATTAATTTGTACTCTGATCTTTATTCATCTTTCCTTGGGTGGTTTGGGTTTAGTTTGATTTCTATACAGTTAGCAATAATTTCCTCTCTTTAGTAATTTGAGTGCTTTTTCCTTTTTCTAGCTAAATGTCAGTTTTGATTTTTTAAAAAAAATATCACTTTTTAGTTTCTTTGATTCTCTCCATTATTTTCTGCTATCTCATTAATTTGTACTCTGATCTTTATTCATCTTTCCTTGGGTGGTTTGGGTTTAGTTTGCTGTTCTTTTTCCAGTCTCTCTCTCTCTCTCTCTCTCTCTCTCTCTCTCTCTCTCTGTCTCTCACTGGGAATTGAACTCAGGGCCTCACATTTGCCAGACAGGTGCTGTGCTGCTAAGCTACATCCCTGGTCTATTTTTTTACAGGTTTTTTTGTTTTTCTTTTTATTTTTTTGGTACTGGGGATTGAACTCCTGACCTTGCACTTGCGAGGCAGGCAATGGAACCACTGAGCTAAATCCCTGGCCCTTTTCCAGTTTCTTAAGTTGGATGTTTAAGTTTATTTCTAAGACTTTTTCTTAAGGACATAAATAAACTATGTCATCATCCCCCATCCCATCTTCAAAAGATTAGTACAGTAAATGTTATAAAGCAGATATGAACAATCTGAAGGGTTGGAACCAACATTGACAAAAACCAACTTGCATCTGAACCATTATAAAAATGTTTAAGTAAAAAAGAAAAAAGTGGGGGGCAATGAGGTTTCAGATTGAAAAGATCCTCACATGTCACATTTCATCTAATACATTCAACCCTGGCCAGAGTGTAACAAAATGGAAACAGGATTACTTTCGTATAAAACTCCCACGCTCTACACACGCTCTACACACCTATGTTCCAAGTACAGCTCCAGCCCCTCAATGCTTCTAACTCAATGATTTTCCAGCATGTTGGGCCTGGGAAAGGACCACGTCGATCTTCTCTTTGATCCAGTCTTTGTTACAAGGCTAATATGCCTGAGTATCAGCTCAGTGAACAAGGCAACTGAGGCCTGCCAGACCATCAATAAAATCAAACAACTGATCGATATCATATGTGATAGAGGGGCTGCTGGGGTTCATTCTGTTCAGATGTTCTTCAGCACATTCCATGCATTCATGAACAGATTCACAGTTAGCATAAGCTCCATCTTCTGGCCTCTTGGTAGGTTGTGCTAGCAAAATAGTGTGAGACGTTGCGCCAAACTCTCTGCTGCAGCCATTGCCAACTCTACAAGCCTCACAGTGATGTTTAAGTTCTTGACTTGAGATCTTTCTTTTTTTCCGGATTAATCTAGGTATTTATGGCTACAAGTTTCCCTCTAGACACTGCTTTAGCTTCATTCCTAAATTTTGGTCTAATACGTCATCATTTTCATTCGTCATAATACTTTTTCTAATTTATCTCATGGTTTTCTTGCTTTGGTCCATTGCAAGTGTGAAAGTATGTTGTTCTATTTCTATATATTTGTGAGTTTCTCATAAGTTTCTCTTATTCATTTCTAATTTCACTCCATTGGAGTTGGAGTACATACTTTGCATGATTCCACTCCTTTTATATTTGTTGAGGTCTGTTTCATTTTCTGTCAGGGCACTTGAGAAAAATGTGCCTTCCTCTGCTGTTAGATGGAGAGTTACGTAGATGTCTGTTAGGTTCACTTAGTTTATAGTCTCGTCCGGGCCTTTCATTCCCTTTGTACAATCTTTTCTTTATTCATTCTGTCCCTTTTGGGGGTTGTTAGGCACACACAGAGATGTGTTAACATCCATATCCTTCCACGTTTGGATGTGTTAGATTCTCATCTGTCATAGGTTAGAGAAGCCTCTTCAATATGGCCACTCAAGACAGCGATCTGGCTACTGGCAATCTCTAGTCCCCTCAAACTCTGCCTTCCCGCCACACCTAGTATCTTACAGTTCTTTGAACACATTGATGGTTTTCTTCCTTCTGGTCTTTGTACATGCTTTACATTTGCCCACTCTACCTCTAATCTAAATTTCTCCTCTGCCAGCTAACTCTCACTCATTCCTCAAGGGCTACGAACTCTTTCGGAACCCATGTCTGTGCTTTCTGCGCAGCATTTCTCCCCTAAAAAAGAATTAGAAATTTGGCTGTCTCCCCCATCACCCTGGGAGCTCCCTGAGGGAAGGAACAGATCTGGACCATCCCTATTTCTTCAGCACCTGTCACAGGGTTGAGCAAAGAGGGAAGCGTCAAGTTTTATTGAATAAACAAACAAAACAACAGACAGACAAGTGTCTAGTTTCCACGGATCCACAAATCAGTGGGTTTGTGATACTATTGTGAAAAAGCAGAACAGTTTGCGTACACTGGTCATAGCTCTATCAAACACACGTTTGGACTTTAGATATTGTAGAGAGAATCAAAATCAACTAGTTCTGACAGCGGCTTGATAAAGGGAGGTTTCAACATATGAATTTAGGGGAGACAGAAGCATTTGGTGCTTAACAGTAACTTATTGAGAGCTAAGTTACTTGATAATTAACATTGCTCCTACTATGTGCCAGTACTGTTCTAAGCATTTTACAAATTTTGACACATTTAACTCTCATGAGAACTCTATGACATAGGTACTCTTATCGTGATCTGAATTCTACAGGGAAGGAAACTGAGGCACAAAGTGGTTAAATACTTTGCCCAATATTACGTAGCGAGCAAGAGACCTAAGTTTTAAATTGAAGGGGTCCGGCTTGAGTTCCTGATTTGTAATGCAACCCATGCACACGAGTTGGTTGTTTCCAATCAGCTCAATGTAAGGACTTCAAACTTTTAAACAAGGAAAAAGTTCACTTACTGTGCTTGGCGTGTCTGCATTGAAAGGCAAACAAGAGTTAAACAATGTATTCCAACCAAGAGAAATTTGGTGGGCCCAGCTGTCATCACCTCATGCCTCGTGCTGTGAACTTCACAAGTCTGATTTACCACATGATGTCGTGGAGAAAGCAATGATGATTAATGCATTTTCTCTGCACTCTGCCTTAACCATGACCAGTTTATGAGCTATTTGGAAGACACTGATGTCAGGAATAGAGCTACACTGAATTCGCTGTTGCCAATCAAGGACTTTTTTTTTAATAAGAGTCCCCAAATCTATTTTGTTGGACCTCCCGCGATGCACAAGTCTGTATTATGGATGTGACAACACATCTGAATATATTGAATTCAAAACTGCAGGGGACAAGCAAAAGCTCTGTTGACTTGCTCAAAATATGCAGACTCCACCTGGACATGTGGATTGGACAGATGGTGACTAGAAACCTCTCATTTTACATTGCTGAGCTATCTTGGGTTCATTGCATTCATAGATTTTTGAAGAATGCTGCATTGTATTTGGTGGAAAGCAAGATACATTTGTGTGAGGATTCCCTTCCCTGGATGCATGGGGAGGTGTGTAGAGGCGGGCTTAGATCATAGGGTCCTGAGAGCCCAGGGCCAGAGGAAAGAGGCTAAACATGCGGAGCCAGGAACCCGCAAGTCAAAAAGACTAGAGCAGTATCAGCAGGGTCAGAGTCAGTCTTCCAGACTCAGGCCATGTTTGGCAGAGGTGGGGCATGGTTGAGTGTCCTGCCTTTCAAGTAGCAGCCTTAATAGGGTGCAGAGAGCCCAGCTAAAGTTCATAGATCTTGTCTTGTTTTGTCCCTTCTCCTCTCCCCTCCCCTCCACTCTCTCCTTTTCTTTTTTACCAATAGTGGGGATTGAACCCAGGGCCTTCATACTGAACTATATCCCCAGACCTTTTTTATTTTTAATTTAAGACAGCATTTCAGTAAGTGAAGAAGTTGCCCAGGCTGAGCTTGAACATGCGATTCTCTTGCCTCAGGCTCCCAGAATGCTGGGATTATAGGCTATTGCCACAATATCCAACTGGTTTCTTTCTTTTAACGTCATTGCTTTATTGAGATATAACTCACAGGACTAGGAATGTAGCTTAGTGGTTTCGCCGCCTGCCTCACAAGCACAAGAACCCAAGTTTGATCCCCAGTACCCTCCCCACTCAAAAGAGGTATAACTCACATATCATGCAATACATCTCATCCATAGGATTTGATGAGCATAAACAATTCTTTACTTTCATAACCAAACAAAATCCAAATTTTTTTCATTGAGTTTATTGGTACTTTTTAAGTATATAGTACAGTTACATTCATCATTGGGATCTTGATCTTGTACCTTTACATGACAGGTCTTGGTTCTCATTTTTTCCTCATTCCCCAGCCCTCCTATCAGCCCCCCTCCCCTATTTACATAAACTTTGTTTGCATTTTTTCCTTTTCTCATATTTTTTTCTTTTCCCTTCTTTCCTTTCCCCTACCCTTCCCACTTCCCCTGCACCTTTAGCCCCTTTTTTCCTATTGCACATTGTCAGTTATACAATTTGGCAAAATCCAAATTTAAAGACATTTTTCTGATTGCCTTGAGAGTATAGACATTTTCTTTGTGTATATCCTGCCTGCGACTAAGTGATCAAACACTGTATGAGTGCTGTCAACTCTCCACTCAGTGGACTAGATCTACCAAGACGTTATGTCATCCTTGAACTTTATAGGTGAATATTATCCCAAGCTCCCCAGCTGAATGGGCAAGCTCTGGACAAGGCCAGGGTCTTCCCATTGCAGTGGAAAGCACATCCTTTGGAGCCTCTCTCAAGCCTATCTCTGAAATAAGCATGAAACAGGCACAGACTGAACAGCTGCTGCTGTCCCAGTTCATTTTGTTAGAAATACCGATGTCCTATTCTTATATTGGGTCAATCAATATTGACCAATGACCCACTAGGCCTATAAATATGCACTTTTGAGTGAACACAGTTGATTAGTGTTTCAGGGGATGCTTTTATATTACTGCCTCCACAATACATGCTGTTGAATAGACAACAAGCTACATTTTTATTATCGATTTGTGCAGTCTCTACATATCTGCCTTTTATTACATGGCTGACAATGGGAAAAATGTGAGTGCTCTGCTTTAAACAAACTTTCCTAAAATGGCAGATGTCTTGGCTAGATTTGTGATCAGAACCCCATGGCAGTTTATTTAAACTGTAATTTCTGACAAGGGGTTAGAAAATTGGTGTTTTGTCTTGATTGCTTCTTGAGGGTTAATGCATTTATTTTGGAAGCCAAAATAAAGAGGAGGTGCTTGTAGCTATTCTGTTATGAACTCTGAGAAGCTTGACATCTGGCCTTACCTGAGTAGAAAGTCACAAGACCCCTCCAGGACTAGGTGGACCACCAAGTTACTTGCAGCAACACTCAGGTCTTTCTCTGGAAGCACTTTGGCTCCTCGTTGCCATGTCAAAAAGCATGTCCATTAAGTCCCCAAGTTCCACAATACGGAGCACAGTACTAACCAGTCACTTGTGTGGTCATAGAAAGACTTCGATACTATTCCAGCACCACAATGGCCACATAAGGACCCTTCACAGAGGTGGAGTGGCGCACACCATGTGAAAGCAAACTTAGATGAAGAGTGTTTATATTAATGGACAAGATCCCATTTGCACTTGAGGCGAGGTACTTCTCTCTTGCTTACTTTGGAGAGCTCTTCAAGGTCTCTGTCCTTGTCTTTGCAGGGAGATCTGAAGGGTCTTAGTTTAGGAATCTACCCCTCCCTGTCCCCCATATATACATCTGTGCTCATCCTCAGCTCTAGCTCTAGCTCATGCCATCTGCCATTGTTTATTATTTATTTATTTATTTATTTATGACCATTCTGGATGTTAAACTCAGGGCCTTCACACTGAACAACAGCCCTTTTTATTTTTTGAGAAAAGACCTTGTTAAGTTGCTGAATTGGACAGGCTGGGCTCAAACTTGGGATCCTTCTGCCTCAGCCTCCCAAAGTACTGGGATTACAGGCATGTGCTGCTACACCTGGCCTGGTTACAGTGCTTTCTTATACCTCACGTCAATAATGGGATACTTTCTTTTGCTTGTTTGACCCAACTGCCTCCTCTTATTATTTAGGCCTCAACTGATCTATTATTACACCCATAAAGCTTTACTTGATTACTTGAGTCTGAATTAGGTTCCCATCCCCAAGGGTGCCAGAGCATCTTCTCCTTATCACTGTGCTGTAATAACCTGTGTATCTTTCTGTTCCCCACTCTCACCTAGACTGTAAGTTGCATAACATCACTTGTTCACTGCTGTATCCCCAATTTCAGCACACAGAAGGTGCTCCTTAAAATGTTATCAAATCAATGAGTAAGTGCATTCATTCCACCAGTAACCCACCCCTTAAACCCAAACTGTATCCTTGACTTACTCCTCAGTTGGAAATTGACACTGTAGAACGGCTGATTTTAAGTAGCATGACTTCCCTGTGAGTCCGCTTGGATGAATTAGCTGCAAGTCAATATTCTCCCAGGTGACTGAGCTTACTTTATAAAGTTATTTAATACTGACCAATCGAGTTACAAAAAATATGTGCCAAAGTCAATAATTACAATTTTATTTTAATGACTTTTTGTGGGTACCGGGGATTGAACTCAGGACCTTGAACTTGCAAGGCAGACAGCAGTGCCACTGAGCTAAATCCCTGGCCCTTTAATGCCTTTCTTACAGGAGCAAAATACTGTGACTGATTAGCTTTTGAGGTCCTTTTTGACAGGTAATGATACAATCATGTCACCAGTTTTTTATAAAAGTACTTGCACGTGCCATTAGAGGGAGGCTATTTGTCCAAGTGAATGAAATGTAGATTCGTGTTTGAAGTAGAAGTCTGAAAAGAAGGTGGCAGACTCTTTGCAAGTGTTGTCCTACTATGATATTTGAAACACCTTGTTGAAAAGGTGAGGTTAGTACTACCGAGAGATCTCATGTGATGCTAGTCCCTTGGTGAGTTCACTAAGATCTACTGTCAGTTCTTCACCTTTGAAATTTAAAACACCTCAAATTCTGGCTGGGAAGTAGAGCTCAGTGGTAAAGCGCTTCCTTAGCAAGCACAAGGCTCTGGGTTAGATCCCCAGAACCCCAAGAAATAAAATAAAAATAGGGTCTCAAAATGGAGGTAAAACCAACGCCCAGGTCGGCCTCAGCCCAACTGCAGCCGCTGCCGCTGCTGCAGCCCGGGCGGGACGGGGATCGGAGGCATGATCCAAAGGAAACAGAGGAGTTGAGGAAGCTGTTTAGTGGTGGTCTGAGCTTTGAAACTACTGGTGATAGTTTAAGAGAACATTTTGAGAAATGGGGCACACTCACAGATTGTGTGGTCATGAGAGATCCCCAAGTTTTGTGACTCACTCTTGCGTTGAGGTGGATGCAGCAATGTGTGCTCGACCACACAAAGTTGACAGGTGTGTAGTGGAACCAAAGAGAGCTGTTTCCAGAGAGGATTCAGTAAAGCCTGTTGCCCATCTACCAATGAAGAAAATCTTTGTTCGTGGTATTAAGGAAGATACAGAAGAATATAATTTGAGAGACTACTTTGAAAAGTATGGCAAGATTGAAACCATAGAAGTTATGAAAGACAGACAGAGTGGGAAAAAGAGAGGATTTGCTTTTGTAACTTTTGATGATCACGACACAGTTGATAAAATTGTTGTTCAGAAATACCACACTATTAATGGGCATAATTGTGAAGTGACAAAGGCCCTTTCTAAACAAGAGATGCAATCTGCTGGATCACAAAGAGGTCATGGAGGTGGATCTGGCAATTTCATGGGTCGTGGAGGAAACTTTGGAGGTGGTGGAGAGAATTTTGGCTGTGATGGAAACTTCGGTGGAAGAGGAGGCTATGGTGGTGGAGGTGGTGGTAGCAGAGGTAGTTATGGAGGAGGTGATGGTGGGAACTATGGCGGTAGTCCTGGTTACAGTAGTAGAGGAGGCTATGGTGGTGGTGGACCAGGATATGGAAGCCAAGGTGGTGGATATGGTGGTGGAGGAGG